TCGCTTTTTGGTATGAAGTGCTTAGGTGAATTCATTACTGAAGGAGAAGACAATGCTGACATGAAGCCCAAGGGTATTGATTGTACCACGGGATCATTTGAAAATACAAAGCTGAATTCGATGCATCACTGTATCGGTTAGCTTAAAATGTCTCTGAACATATCACACTTCTTGAGAGATTGGAAAAGCATGATCCACTCTGAGGTACACAGTGTGAAGTGTGTTTTTACTGCCGAGTGGTTGGTCAACAAATAAGCTTACAATCTTTGATTATTTCATCAGAATCGATACCTTGGGACACAAGTGGTCAAACTGTTCTTCCAGAAATCTTTTAACTAGGTTTCATTCGTTGTCAAACGAAATTCGATCTTTTCAAAAATAAGTTTTTTTCGTTCACTCATTTCAAATCCAACATGGACTAGAGATTCATTTATTTGAAACTGATTCCAAATGCTTTTGACCTTAGTCAAAAAATCCATATTAGGTCATTAAACCAAACACATTTACCTGTGCTGATCGACACACTCTTACAATTCATTTCACCCAATTTCAGTTCAGGCGGGTTTAGTCAAATGTCTCAATGAAAGAGCTAAGAAAAACTCAGTAGTCAATGTAAGGACTTAAACAAGGAATTTAAAAGCATGACTACGAAACATGCTCATTGAGTTATAGAGAAGAGATAATTCAGCGAAGAAAATCTTCTTTTTCGACGATATCATTTTCTAAAGCTATAGAATCGTTTATTACGCAACTACTTTGCATTCTTGATTCCGGTTTTTTTAAGCACTAGGTTAATGAAGTAATTACACCCTACTGTTTTATAATAGACTGTTATATGTTTATGATATATATAAATACGATTGTACTGCTTAGAAAATGATATCGTCGAAAAAGAAAATTTTCTTCGCTGAATTATCTCTTCTCTATGAAACACATGAAATAAGCTTTAATAATTACCAATTATCCTCTACCGTTTACTAAGAAATTCGTACGAACACGTAAGAAAGGAAACATAAACTGTAATATGAATACGAATAATAGTGACACCACCAGTAGAAACAAGTTCCAAGCATCTGTTGTCCTACCATATAAGGAAGGAATACCAGAAACTTTATGTAGGTTTCTCAACAAGTCTGGAATTAGGGTGGCATTTAAATCTACAAACTCACTCACAGATAAGCTTTGTCGGCTGGCTTAAGGATCTGATAGAAGCAATTCAGCAAAATAATCTAATGTATCAAATTTCATGTAATGCCTGTGAGGTCAAGTACATGGGTCAAGCTACCCTGTCGGGGTCAGTTAGATTAGCGGAACATAGAAAATTAGCTGAATGTAGAATGACAGACCCGAATAAGATCAGCAACTTAGAGAACAACTCGGCTATTGCAATGCATGCATTAACACACAACCACACAATAGTGGATGTGATAAAACCACTGTGCTGAAGTTTAGTATAATTAGGTGGAGAGAGAATTGATTACTGAATCTTTTTTCATCGAATCAACGTCAAACACATGTAGTAGGAATGACATGACACCAATATCAGAGATGTGAAAGGCTCTAATACCAATAAAACAAATAACATGAGGTGACAGGACTCTAAAAATCAGATTTCGAAAGTGGTGTGATTACATTGATGTGATTGTAGGCATTAATTAATACTCGAAACGTCATCAGGTAAATATTACTGTATCACTGTGTGTTGTATATCAAATAAACAAATCTAATATAGAGCCACTCATTCAGCGATATCACTCTCTAGATGTACAACTGTATGTATAAACACTTTATTCACATCGTAACAAAAAGTAATGATTTATAACATTTCTGAACGAAATTCAGTTTTGAGTACAGATCAGGTGATTGGAAAAAGAATCACGTAATGTCTCCAATCATCATCATCATCATCATCTATCAGCATAGGACCAGGCATTACTGAGTTACTGTCCGATCTGCCACAGCCCATATCACCAGATCAAGTAAAATGACAGTGAAGTGGAGGATGAAGGTAAGAAAATTCAGTCTATAGAAATATAAAGTACTAAAAGAAAGAAATGAAGAATGGAAAAATAGTGAGATCCGGAACAGCGTTAAGATGAGAATAATGTGTGTATACATCTGTGCCACTGACATTGGTTCTGAGCCATATCACCTAGAGTCTTCAACCACTGTTCCCTCTTGTCCGGCGGATCCCAACCACCTAGTCTGCATCGCCCCACATGGCTCAAACCAACAGTCAAAAACTGCGTCCATTGATGCCTTGTTTCAGTTTGGCCGCCTCGAGTCGTTTCTAGACTGAACCTAATTCGGCCAACCTTGTGTGACAAGGCAATCAGCGACTAGGCATACGTAATACGTGTCCCAACCATCTCAGTTGATGAAAGTTCATAATCGTGTCAACTGACTTGCCTCTACTCCCTAAAACTCTGCACATGAAGTCTGCGTTACTCACTTGGTGACACCACGGAATACGGCCTATACTACGAAGGTAACGGTGGTCAAACACCTGAAGCCTTCTTATGTCTTCCACCTTCAATGGTCATGTTTCCCAAATATATACCAGAACAAAACGGACTACTGTGCAGTACAAGCGACCCTTAACAGACAATCGGAGATCACGGCGGCGCCACAGGTGGCGTGAATTGGCAAAAGCCAGCCGAATGTCTCGAACAGTAATAATGAGAAAACTTATCAAGGCCAAAACATTATTTGGTTACTAAGTAGAGTTATTTAATATAGTTAAACTGACTGGTGAATGTAATGAGCAGTCTGAATTATAGGGGTGCAAGAATATGATGTGTGAGATGTGAACGGAAAGATTTTGAGAGTAAAATGTTCTTATAGGTCATGCCTATTGCACTTCAAGTGACTGGATAAACATGTTTTATTATTTACTTATTTTACTAATTGCCATGGTTTTTGCAGTTTGAAGAGGTTTCAAGTGTACACTTTCCACAAGGCTTGCACAAACTCTATAGAAGTTGTTTTCGAACTTATAGGGTGGTTAGAATTAACCAAATGTTCCAAAATAGGGCTGTGAAGTGACCTCCTGTTCCCTTTATGAAATAGGCTAGTATATATTCGGAAATGTATTTGGAAACCAGACGCTGAGTGCAACCAAAATGGCTTGCTTTATAGAAGCAGGTGAATAGATGAACACAACTGGGAATGACCAAGGAAACCAGCTTACCCTTTACGCATAATCAAAGTACCGAGTAAGTAGAGAAACGTAATCTGAGTTAGATAGTATGGGGAGACTTTCTCAGTAAGTATGCCAGACGGTTTCTCACTATATCTGCTGATATGTCTCCGTTGAACAGTGAATTAATGAAAAAAGGTTTCTTAAAATCTGTAGAAGTAGAAGGATTATTAGCCTTCAGGTTTTAGTAGTTTTAGCAGTGAAACATTTAGGATACTGGTTTTCTATCAAAAACGTCTTCAAGAAACTTAAGTTTGTCTTCTTTCACATCTCATTCTGATTTCTAATTACATTCACCAGTCTTTTTAACAACATTAGATAACTTAATGACTAAATATTATTCCAGTCGTTTCGTTGAAAAATATGTTATGAAACATTACTTTTTTGTTACAATGTGAACAGAGTGTTTGTACAGTTAGAGAGTGATATTCCTGAAAATAGTGTCTTTTGATTATGTAGAACTTTGTAAAAGCTGTTAAGTGTTCTCATAAGATTACGGCTTTTTTCGGTACTACGTACGAAAAAAATGGGCGAATTTTCATCATTTCTCATTTAGGATGAATGTAACAACCATTTAAATTGTTTAAAGATCGATGTGACTCAGCGTGGAATTCCCGTATTTGATCCTAAGAGATGTCACAAATGGCTATAACTGACTAGTGATTGAGCAAGACAAATAGCTGTTTAACTCATGAGTATCACATGTATCTGTTGATTTAACTAACCAGATCAGTATGAACTAAAAACTAGATAGAGAATTTTCTGGTTTTTAAGTTGAACTATATATCCAAGTTAACTCAATGATTGTCCAACTGAAATCATGAATAAAACTTACACTAAAATTGTTATTCTTTTATAGTGTAAGATTATACTGACTCACTAATGTTATATAAGCTCAGTAGTAAAGATGTTCAATTCATGGTTTTATGAAAATGCATTTCACTAAAGGGTTTGTTAAACAGCTTAGTTGTATGTATAAGTTTCTTTTCGACGGTTTACGCTTACAACAGTATCTGTCTTCCAGGGTTGTATGAATGTGAGTTGAGGATATAACTTCGTTTCATTTTCTCAGGATAAAATATCTTTTTTTTTTGCTAATTACTTGTTCATTATGACTGTCACTGGTTTGGATTTACTTACTCTAGTGCTATATCGTAAGTTGATTACAAAGCTAGGTAAGAAGCTTAATATATGCCTTGTTTTCAACTGATTGAAAGAGAAGTCAATGATTTATCTGTTAGCTGTGTTAATTGTAAATAAGATCAAAGTTTGAATACCTTTGATAGGTGGAATGCAATAACGTGAACTGCAGTCACAACAGGTTAATATCGATGAATTGAAAATGATACTAGTAGTACAAGATGTTATTTAGTGACTAATTAACCTGGTAGATAACGTCGTAAAGTTTCAAACGATGGATTCTACAACCAAGTCTCAATGTGAACGTTATCAATCACTTGGATGCAGGTTAACAAGGCTGACAAGTCTCATGAAGAACGAAACGTAAGTACTAGTTTTTTACTATCATTCACCGCAACCACAACATATTATGATGACTTTTCAGGTGATATAGAGACACCCATAAAGAACTAGCAACTCTATGCGTTATAATCAACATTATCCTAGTAGTCACGAACGAAGGAGTATGTTTTGTACTCCAAGGTATTTAGTTACCTTAATGATATAAGAGTTTATTTTCATGAGATACTTCTTTCCTATTCCTATTAAACAGACCTACAACTTTTGAAATGAAATTTCTAAAAATTTATGGTTTTTCTTTTTTTGTTTTTATGTGGAACAGAGACGATCTCTGACTCCTTGTTCATGGCTGGAACGTGGTGGCTTTTTCAATATGCCTAAGTATTACAATTCTTTATCTCCATTTGTACAACGACGACATATATGCTCAGGTCATACAACTTGTCCACTCAACTGGCTTCCAACAAATGATGTCAGATCACTAACATTCAAACTTATAGGTACTGATGGTAAGTTAGTTGATTGCACTTTCTAAGTAGGTATGTATATCCATTGATTAGTCACTGGACAGCAACCAATTTCATGTTAGCTACCAAATTCTACTGACCATTTTGTAATGTTGCCACCAAAGGTATGAGGCTCATCATCTCGGTGCTGCTGGTTATTATTATTATTATTAGTCCCTTGGGTTCCTAGTGGAACATAGGGCTTCAGTAGCACGCCTCCAGTCACCTCTGTTCTCTGAGATCTTTTCAACCTGGTCCCACAACAGCCCACAAGCTCTCATTTCCTCCTCGAACGACCTCCTCCATGTCACCCTCGGCACGACGCCCAACTCGTCGCTTCCCATGGGGACTCCACTTGGTGACTGGCATGACGCGTGATGTCCTCAGTCGGCCTTCTCAGTGCATGCCCAATCCATCTCCACTTCCTCCTGCATATTTGTTGCGTGATAGGTTCTTGGTTGGTTGGTTCGTTCCCAGAGCTCCTTGTTGCTTATTCTTTCTGGCAATCCATCTGATCTTCAGTTGCGAGCCAGCGTAGCAGTTGTTGATGAATGTCTGTAGTTTATTAGAAATCCGTTTCGTGACGCGCCAAGTCTCTGAACCATACAGGAGCACTGACTTGACTGATATTTGTGTTGAAAATCCGTATCTTATTCCGCATGCTGAGAGCAGAAGATCTCCACACTGGTTTCAGGCTAATGAACGCCTGTCTTGCTTTTCCGATTCTGACTTTGACGTCCTCGTCCGTCCCGCCTGTAGTTGAAACAGTGCTTCCTAGATAAGTGAAGGAGGTTACTTCCTTTAAGTTTCTCCCGTTGATGGTGACTGGAAATTGTTGTTGTTGGTGGTGGTGGTGCAGTATCTTCATCACTTCTGTCTTCTCTGTATTCACTTGAAGTTCCGTCTTCGCTGGAAACCAAAGTGTTCAGGAAGCCAACACACACTGACCAAATCCTCAACTGCAATACCAATAAATCAACAACCCACAAGATCAGTTGCATGCAGACTCTATTCAGAAGAGCGACAACACAATACAGTACAACAACTTCACGGAGAAACGCAGAAAATTACTTGATGTCCACCCTAGAGAAGAACGGCTACCCACAAAACCCTACCAGAAGATGCCTATCAACTACATAGTCATCGACACAAATCAATAAACGCATCATCCTACCATACATAGGGAATATATCAGAAATCACGACAAGATTACTGAAACCACTTGGAATTGGTGTGGCTCATGAACTAACAAATTCCCTCCACACCCCACCCCATGTATGTATGTAGACCAAAGGATGCGACAGCCAAAGAAGATAAACTGAATTTCATTTACAAAATCAACTGCAATAACCCTAGTCAACACTACATTGGACAAAGTGGTCGCCCTCTTCACCGTCGTCCACATGAACACCAATTGGCTATTAAACGTCACAACATTTCATCACTCATTTCAATGCATGTGGATAACAACTATGGACATGAATTCAATTTGCATAATGTAGAAATATTGGACGGAGGAAACACAAAAGGTATCAGTGAATTCCTAGAAGCTTGGCATTCAGGTCAGTCAGTCAGTCAGTCAGCAATCAACAGATGTATAGACATAGACCCAATCTATCAACCAATAAGAAACATGATAAATGACAGAAAGGTTAGAGGTGAAGCAGAGGAACAGCCAACAGGAAAGTCTATACAATGAATGACACAACAATGGAAGGAAACAACCAGTCATAGACGGCTTCGTTAAGTCAGTCTACTAAATCACTCACTGGTGGAGAGATATTGACAGCTCACTTCATACTGGAGTTAGTGTTGCTGATGATGTTGTCTAGAAGGACGATGAAAGCTTCACGACTAAACAACCCAGCTCACAGAACACAATACAACTAAGATTTAGAGATATCACTTTGTGTAAAGCAAGTTATGTTCCACTTTTTTCTGTTACATCATTGGTGGATAGCAGTCACTGATAAAAGTATGCAAGGGACTATCATGTCACCTGCAACATAAGCTTGTCTGTCCCCTTTTCGTCACTCTTCAACTAGAGGTCTATGATCAATTTCAAAATAGACCAGGGTAATTCTTTGAAATTCAGAGACGACACTTTGATTTCGGAAATTTTACGCTTTCCAATGCGGATCTCAGTTAAACCTATGCACATAATCTTATTAGCGCTGGAAAAACCTAGTGATTGTGATTTTAATCGCCAATACTTTTAAAGCTACCTTTCTCGCACAAGCGGTGCTGTGTTTCCTTGAGACTTATTTTTTGGTTGGGGTCTAGTGGTTACCCTGGTTTGGGTTTCTTATTGAGTCCTATGATTACAGAATTGAGGAAGTGCTGCTTCTTACTATTATTATCCACCTAAAAAATATTATATCACAAATATACAAATGTGTAAGGCCTTAAAGCCTAGGGGCCCTAGTCAGAAGGCCAGCGAACGAGAACAAAGACAGATAGTGTGAAAGAAATTCATAATTGATTGGTTATGGGTCTCATTCTTGCTGGCTATGAATATAGGAAGGTGTGTGTTCGACAAATATATGAAGCTCTTTTGAAAATTTTCAAAACTAGTTGAAATTATTGTTTCAATTATCGTTTAATAATCAGATTGGATATTTTTATGAAGTGACCATTATTGACAGAGATGAGTAACTGGTGTTGCTCAGACTATAAAGTTAACTGTTTTTCAGAAGAAAACACGACGCACAGGGCGTAAGGGATTTTTTAGGCTGAGTGAAACTAATGTCCCAGGATATGTGATATGTTTAAAGTCGTCAAGGGATTCAAAGTAATTGATAAGGTGATATAAGATAGCCACATCTTGGTGAACTGATATTATTAATACGTGGTAGTTCTAATCTCAGTTTAGTTAGCAAGAGTTATTTCCTCCCTGTTGTTTGAGCCTAAGTATACCCGTCACTTCATCTTGATTCCATTGACTAACAGTTGTTTCTGTTGAGTGTATCTGACTAATGATTATTCATCTGATCTCCTTACATGCTTTCTGATGTACGCTGATGGTTGAGGGTATAGCGAAAACCCTGATTGCAACAAATTTCGAAGGAATAGACTCCATGTTACAGGCCAGGAGTCCTACTAAGTGACATTAATCTCCAAAACCACGACTATCACAGACAGGCTCGTCAGTTTGATGTTCTCCTCTCTTTGAATCATCTCCATTTGGAATCACGTAAGAAGATTTGGCTAGACTAATAGTATGGTGATGATCAACCAGTTGCGTATCACTCATTCGTACAATAGCTTGGCAAAGATGTTACTGGCCGAAATGAAGTGAAGATCTGCTCAGTGGCTGAGTTTCCCAGCTCATTTATCAGAATGTCGAGGGAAAGGGGTTAATCTGAGGTCAATGGTTCGAGTCTCACCATGGTTCAGAAGTAAATGAGGAGGTGAGGTAAGCAGTAAACGGTCAAATGAACTGAGCATTTCCAATTGAAATATAATAGCGGAATGAAATGATAATACTGACAATGAAAAGGAAAAAATGGTAACGAAGTGATAATCCAATACATACCTAAATATTTAATAGTTATTATAATAAAACGTCATTAAAAACAGTTTCATTTTGAATGCCTAGGATACACTTGAATGATATGCTAACCAGTCCTACAGCTACACGCAGTAACTTTGCTTTTACGTGCTTCTTAATTACTATAAAAGGCCACAGTATATCGATATCATAATGTCATGATATCCTGTGAACTTAAATTTCCCTTTTCAGCAGCCTAGTGCAAAACACTATGGTGCTTGAAACGATGAGTGCTGGGTTCCAGTTTCAGTGAGAACACCATCACTCACTAGGATACACTTACATTCAGCTGACAAGTCCCGAGTATGACCAAAACGTGCCTGGAGGATTCCGCTCCTTGCCATCACATTCGTTCAAATCTCCCATATGCTAAGAGTGCCCCATCCATTCTATCAAGTTTAATAGTCGCCAAAGAAGTGCAAGCATGAATAAATAATAACCATAATGGTAGTCTATAGAAAGTTAATTAGGCAACTATATCTCTATTGACTATTGAATTATAGTATTTATTTATATGAAATGCGCTAGTTGAACGTGTTCACATGTTGAAACAAATATTTCAGATATGCGTGATTATGAATTTCAAGCTCATTTTTGTAATCGAATCTATGAAGCACGACATCGTTACTGTACAAATGAAGAAGGTGAAATTGCATTTGAACTTAGACAAATTGGTACATGGCTTATGGTAGATCGGATCAATTGTCGGTGTTTAGGCATAGCTGATGTGGAACGTTATGGTTACAGTAAAGGTGTTCAATTTGGAGATCGTGTTTTTCGTGGTAATTACATACATATGACGTGTGCAACAAAAGTAAGTGGATATATGTGTATATTTTTTATACTGTTTGGACTGTTTGAACTGATTTTCACATAACTTCAAAGTATACTAGATCAAACCCACCGTCGAAAACTGTAATTGCTTTTCCTCAGTGCTATATCACGTGACTACATGAAAACAAGTGGACATTAGAATGCAACGAATCCTTTTGTTTATGCAGTAAGTGAATAACGTGCATGGTACGATCATGTAACCATTCTTTTGAAATCTTCTTGAATAAGAGCAGTCGTCTGTAAAGATTTCTTTGGTATTTCGTGATTTGATACTGGGTGATGATAGATGGCGTAAAGTGAAAATTTGGGCTACGGTAGGTCTCTAACCAGCAACCACCCAGGTTTCCGACACCGTTGTCAACCGGCTGAGCAACGGAACTATGCAACTTACTAGAATTTTATTTCGAATCCTACCTTGGCTCATGGTGATACAATGTTGTTATACTGGTTGACGCTCCAAGTAAAATTCCCTGCTTATAATCATATAATTTTAATCACACAGCCTCCTAACTTACTTTTCATATTCCTATCTCTTTTTATTTTTCACTTTTAATGGTAGTAAACTTCTCAGTGAACCAAAGATTGGAGCTGAATCTCACCTACGTTACAGATATTAGGTGTTGATTTGATGAATGAACAGCCAGTGTTCAATCTTACCCTCTGCTTAACTACATCAGTCTTTAGAACTTGCTGTGTCCCATTCTATATTATACCAGTATTTGGATAACAGTGGTTGAGATTTTCATTACATTATTTACGTCAGTAGCCGAATCCTTCTAAATTTAGCCCAGCTCCGATGTTCTGATAGTCTAATTTACTCTGACTGGTTCATAGAACCTGTACGTTTGACCCCCCCCATTCTAAGTCATTATATGTTATTTACTAAGTTAAATAATTTTGTTTCATTAGTTCGGTAAAATCCTTAAGCCGATAAAGCTTGGCTTTTAATGAACTTTTGGTTCAAATGACAATCTAATCGCAGCCTTATAACAAATCCTAAGTAGGGATCCTGAAATTTCTTTTTTTGACTGTAGGAAGGTAATATAGGCTTTGAGCTATCATTTTGACTATCTGAAATTGCCGTGGTTTGACATACTAGTATTTATACTGGGTTATGATTGAAGGCGATATGAAGATTCGGATCACGGCCAGATTAAAACCAGCAACTATCAGCCTGATGATCTACCTCGTAGCTCAGCTAGTAGAGGATTGGACCGTAAACTCGGTGGTCACTGGTTCTAATCTGGCTTCGGTCCAAATTTTCTTTCACATTCAATCACCACCCAGTATAAAGGATTTAGATACCCAACCAGTCGTCCTGAAACCTTTGTTGACACTACTAATTTTCCTTTTCTTATGTGGTTCTATGAATTTCGATTCCGTATCCAAGGATCTTTATGAAGTAGCAGTTTACCTCGTATGAGTTCTCTTTATTGATGTAGACTTTTGAAATTAATAGTCAGTCTGGTAAGTTGAACCAATTAACCATAACACCATAGGGTACTAAAAAGCAAAGCGAATTCACAGAACAGAGTCACTTCCATGTTGGACTGGGAATTCTGATGCGGTCTGTCGTATTGCTAAACAGCTTTCGTGTTGGATCGACAAGAACCATTGATAACCAGATACCATAGAGTAGAAATTTGAGTCTTTCTTGAGACCTGCCGACTTTTCATTCTAAATGGGATGTGAGATTGATCTGAAGACACTTAGGTGTTGGAGTTAAAACTTCGTCATTCAGTGGTGAGCTTTATATCCACTGGTCTGTACTTTTCAAATAGTCGAAGATTCCTTCGATATGATGGTTTCAGCAAATCGCTAAATAAACTGAATTGTAAATAACAGAACTATAGTTTTATTTAACATGAATCCACGAGTAATATTGATCTTAATGGTGGAGGATATATGATGCCGTCAAACACTTCTGCGATGTCAGTCAGTTAGTCAGTCATTATCAAAATAGAATAACATTGCATGTAACCACATTTCACATCAAAGATAAACAGACGAAAATTGTGTGATCAAAAGACGTGGAGGTCTAAACAACAAGCTTAGTAGAGTCAAAGTAGGTAAGTGCTTGAGGGTTACAATGCGTGCATGCGTCCGCACCAATTCGATAGATTTTGGACCACATCAGCTACGATTGATAAATATCTGTCCCAATCATGTCACTTACTTCAAAAAGTAAGTTTACATTTCTGTACACTGGTCAGAGTTAAAGTTGCTAAATGTTGGCATATCTTGTTCACATCACACACACATATCGTCTAAGTTAACTGTCATTCACTTAACGTGTTGATCTTTTGAGTACACGGAGCCTAAGCATGCATTATTTATATTCGAGTCGACTGGCTGCATAAAGTTTACAATTTTAGTTGACTAACTTAAATTCCTCCCTGCCTAATAATGCATTACGCAATCAGTGTTGTCTTTTCTTACACCAGCAACATGGCAAACTGCATAGATTTATTAGCCATGCCGGATAATACATGCATGTTTTAGAAACACAACGCACACATCTGTGATCCAAGATACCAGAGGTTTAATCAGTGAGGCTGGTTTTGCAAGTTGACAAACTATACAGACATTAGGCGATAGGGAATAAACTTTCTTGAACATGATTTGAGGAGATCAGATACGCCACAGGGTGAACTGAAATTGTTGTCACAAACTTCACATTGGAAATAAGCAAGACCGGGTTTAGAACTATTAACAGAAAGGTGTGAAGAAAGTTCCCAAGGCAACTATGTCGAAGGTTGGTACTTCCTGACTGTCCATACCCTGAAAGATGGTTTCTACTTAAGCCAATTGGTCAGGGAAGTGAGTTTGTATTGAAATTTCCATCAATACAGGCTAATAAGCTCTGAATTTAAAACACCCAGCACCTTAAAGCTGAGAAAAAGCCACCTGTTAGGCGATTTCTGATGTTAATTTTATTCTTTTGAGTTTGTACCTGCCACTGGAACTAAATGTTCTTCTAGGTCAAAGATGGAATATGAAGTTTTCAGCTGTGACCTGTTCAACCCTTCTTTTCGGTAAAGGGAAGGCACTATCAGCTTGGAATGGTGGTTACCTTTGAAAAACACATAACTGCTTTTACCCTTATAATTAGACCATGTGGTTGAATTTTACTGCTTTTAATCTGCTGCCGACCTTCCTGGCATCGTAGCACATCAGTGAACATACATTTTAACTACCGTAGCGGGGATGGATCACTGCAGTAGGTAAGTATGATCCCCACGTCATAATCGCAGTTACGGTCATGACAGAATAAAGTTTTACTAAATCCATACTAGTACAAGCTAGTTACAAGTCAGTCAAGTCAAATAAAACTGTGATTGAAAATCCCTATGATCCCTTCTTCTAGAAAGATCATTTTGTGGTTGTTTCACAAGTATTACCACCTGGTTAAACTACACTTGAATGTCGAATAGAGTAAGAATGCCAGCTTTAATTTAATTAATACTTCAGTGTAAATTACCATGTTATTATAGTAATGATGGATAGTGGCTAACAGTGGGATTCAGGATGCTCATTTCGTCCCGTTTGGAACTCGTCGACTGGATTTACCTGCCTCCCACCGATATTCAAACTTGGAGCCGGTCACTTGAAACGCCAGAGTGTTATCCACCAGACCACCAAGCTACGATAGCCACTTCTTGTGCGATGGGTATATTTTTTTAGTGTTATTACTTGTAGTATACCGTCGGTGATTCGACCAAGTTGATCGGTCTCTATAGACTCCTACACGAACGTCTCTATTTTGCCTGTGTTTTTAATTAGATAGTAATTACATATAAATCAATTCAGTCCAATCAATGATGGTATAATACAAGCAATAGTACTATTGTATTATTAGTCTAGTTGAAATACTGATCCACAAAGGTTTATTCTACATGAACCAGATCACAATACATCTTAAACCTGTTGTACATATCTATTCAAAGATTTCTGAATATTTAAAACACACTAATTCTAGGCGAATGATAAATAACTCAACATTTTGTTGATTCGATTACCTTTAGAGAAAATCGAGTAACTATGCCGTCAGGTATGTAGGCTGTACAATCGATCAATAGTGTGAAATGGTTAATTTTTTTACTTATTGACTTCTGTCACAATGATTTATTACTTTTTTTCTTGTAAGATAAGAAATATTCTATAAGTATTGATCAGTCACGTCAATTCACACTCACTAAAGTGAAATTATTATTCCTCATTTAGTTGAAAAGTTTAGGAGTAAATTTTAAATCCCTATTGTGAAATTTATTGATCGATAGTACTCATTTTACACTGGATTTATTATTGACTATGTTTGAAATCGGAAAAGCAAGACAGGCGTTCATTAGCCTGGAACCAGTGTGGAGATCTTCTGCACTCAGCATGCGGAACAAGATACGGATTTTCAACACCAACGTCAAGTCAGTGCTCTTGTATGGCTCAGAGACTTGGCGCGTCACGAAAGGGATTTCCAATAAACTACAGACATTCATCAACAACTGCTTACGCTCGCTGCTGATGAACAGATGGCCAGAAAAAATAAGCAACAAGGAACTCTGGGAACGAACCAACGAAGCAAGAACCTATCACTGGACAAATATGCAGGAGGAAGTGGAGATGGATTGGCCATGCACTGAGAAGGCCGACTGAGGACATCACGCGTCATGCCAGTCACTCGAGTGGAATCCCCATGGGAAGCGACGAGTTGGACGTCGGTGCCGAGGGTGACATGGAGGAGGTCGTGCGAGGAGGAAATGAGAGCTTCTGGGCTGTTGTGGGACCAGGTTGAAAAGATCTCAGAGAACAGAGGTGACTGGAGGCGTGCTACTGAAGCCCTATGTTCCACTAGGAACCCAAGGGACTAATAATAATAATAATAATGTTTGAAATAGCAAAGAAAGTGCTATTTAGTGTAGAAAATCAACTTTGTTGAAAAAGCTAAATGATAATGAGAGTATAAATAGTTTTATTGTTAATTTG